TTTTTTTTTTTTTTTCAATTTTTTTGGTGGAACCGGGGATTGAACTCAGGTCCTTGCACTTGCCAGGATATTTTCACTTTCACTCAAATGGTTTTTCCAGCTTGTGACTGAGGTTTTAATTTCCTGGATAGCACTTTGAATCTGTTTCATACATTCTATTTCTTTCCTATATTGCTTATTCAGGGATTCCATCATTTTTATATTCTGTTCTTATTTTTTTATCAATGTATTCTTTAGAAGCACTTAGTACTTCTTTGATTATAATTATCATTACTTTTTTTAGTTCAGAAATTATTTCTGATCTGATTTCTTCTATACCTTTCTGCAGTTGTTTCTTTACTTCCAACGCTATTATTTCAGAGATTTCAGGTGATTTCCAATTTCCTCTATGCTAGTGTCTTCTACATTTGTACTGGGTGGACTTGGGGCCTGAGACTGCATTTTGTTCCTTCTCTTTGTCATTTTGTATACCACTGTCTTCTGATCTTTGGTGTAGAGCTTAGATAGAGTTATTATCTTAGCACCAGGTCTGGATCTACGAAGTTCAGATTCCTCCAGCTGGGTGTTTGGATCTGGCTGCTGTGCTCCACTTCTTCCTGCTGCAGCCATTGGAGTTGAACCCTTTGCATCACTCTGGCAAGATGTTCTGCTCCTGAATCAGCTGGGTGGGTCTTGCCTCTAGCCTCTTTCCAGGGAGTTCTGCTGAAGGGTTCCACGCCAGGCCTGCACTCTGGGTCTAATGAGGATCTGGTGGATCCCAGGCGATCTCACTCACATGTTGGGCATGTGCTCTCGCTCTGGATCAATTCAGGATCCAGTGGCCCCAGGTGGTCTCACTTGCTGGGCCTGCACTCTGGGTTGAAAGATTTTTCGGCGGGCCCCAGGCAGTCTCACTCGCACTCCTGACCTGCATTCTGGGTCCATTCAGGATCCGGTGGCCCCAGGTTGTCTCACTCACACCAGACCTGCCTGCAGTTTCGTGAAAGAGAATATGTAAACATTTTTGAAGAATATCTCAGGTCTGATTACATTATGCCATGAATCTATTTGGAATCTTTTTTCCAAAAACTCAGCACCTTGCACTTGCCAGGCAAGCACTGTGCTGCTCAGCTGTATTTCTGTCCCTGTAATCTTCATTTTCATGCAATAATATAGTGTCCCCTTATATTTCTATGTCTACAATTCAGGTAGAGCCCAGGATAACCAAGAAGTTGAAGAGGACAAAAATGACTGGAGAAACCGAAGGTAAATTTGAACTCAAAAAAGAACTGTTTCTCAAAAGTAAATGTGTAAACACAAATATGACAACCAGGAAAATGTGGCAATGTAAAAAATTTTTTTTTAATTTTATTTATTTATGTGTGTGTGTGTGTGTGTGTGTGTGTGGCCAGCTCAGCCCACCAGGGGGCGGGGCTGGCTGGCATGTGGTGCTGGGGGATTGAACCGCGGTCCCTGTGCTTTGCTAAGCTGGTTCTAAGTAGGTGCTTTAGACCACTGAGCCATCTCACCAGCCCCTAAAAATTTATTTAATCTCACAGATATTCTCCAATGATATATGTAGTTTTACTATGTATAATCTGTATACTGAATACAGAAATATTCCCATATCCGAAATATACTGATATGCAGCAAGTGACACCATCTGACATATAGGTACAAAACTTTTCTTACATGATTACCTCTATGAAAAGGTATGAAATTTCATTTAGGTGTTTTGTGTAGGTATATATGAAAATAAATAAATTGTGAGTTTTGACAGAAACACTTCTTCAGAATATCTGTATACATGTAAATATTTATGTATAAAGAACTCAGTATCTAAAAGATTAGAAACCTGGAAGCAGTAGTGAAAGTACAAATGAATGCTAGTGTTGTACTTCTCCAGAGAATTGAATCCATTCATGTTTTAAAATACTTCAACATTTTTGGTAGGAATGTTAATTATAGGTGGTATTGTGCTCAGTATAGAGACTTCTCAAAAAGTAAGAATAGAATTTTCATTTGATCCAAGATACCTCTCCTGAGTACAGTTCCCAAAAAGTTAATTTTTTAAATGTATTTTGGTTGTTACAGGGTGTCACTATGTAGCTTAGACTTGTGGTAACCCTCATGCTTTCAGCCTCCCCAGCACTGGGATTACAGATGTATGCCACTATGCCTGGACTGGTTGGCTCCTCCCACCCTGAGAGCAGGGCTGGCACAGCATGTGATGCCAAAGATTGAACTGCAGTCCCTACACTTTTTAAAAATTTTATTTATTTATTTATTTATTTGTGTATGTGTGTGTGTGTGTGTGGCCAGCTCAGCCCACCAGGGGGCGGGGCTGGCTGGCATGTGGTGCTGGGGGATTGAACCGTGGTCCCTGTGCTTTGCTAAGCTTGTTCTAAGTAGGTGCTTTAGACCACTGAGCCATCTCACCAGCCCCTGCAGTCCCTACACTTGCCTAAGCAGGCACTTTAGTCAACTGAGTTACCTTGCTGGCCCCAACATTGAAATTCTCATATTATACTGTTACAGCATAAGAATACACAAGGCAGGACAGTTTATAACAGCTAAGCTATGGAATCAGTTTAGATGTTCATCATTGGATGAATGGATAAAGAAAAAATTTAATAGGTGTGGCATTGTCGTACAATCCCAGCTCTCTGCTGAGCTGATTCAGCAGGATCAGGCAAGTTGAAAGTCAACATGAGCAACTTCATCACCAAAGAGAATCTCTCCTAAAATAGGAAATAAAAGGTTGGTATGATTCTGTCCTGCGTGTCTGTGCTGTGGAGCAGTACTTATTCGCTTACGTCCATATTCTCTCCTGCCTAAATGCATGCCACCACTCCATGGAAGATACGATGGATATGGACATGAGCCCCCTGAGGCCCCAGAACTGTTTCTTTGGTTGTGAACTAAAGGCCAACAAACATTACCACTTTAGGGTGGATAACAATGAAAATGAGCACCAGTTGTCATTAAGAACAGTCAGTTTAGAGGCTGGTGCAAAGCATGAATTGCACATTGTTGAGGCAGAGGCTATGAATTAAGAAGACAGTCCTTCATAATTAAAGTAACACTGGCAGCTTTGAAAATGTCTGTACAGTCAATGGTTTCCCTTGGGGGTTTTGAAATTATGCCACTGTTGTCTTAAAGTTGAAGTGTGGTTCAGAGCCTGTGTTTGTTAGTAGACAGCATTTAGTAGCTGTGGAAGAAGACAGAGTCAGAAGAGGAAGCGGAAGAAGATGTAAAACTCTTAAATATATCTGGAAAGTGATCTGCCCCTGGAGGTGGCAGCAAGGTTCCACACAAAAAAGTAAAATTAGCTGTTGCCAAGGACAATGAAGCTGAGGCTGAGGATGAGGATGATGAGGCTGCTGCTGCTGCTGATTTTGATAATGAAGACACTGAAGAGAAAGCTCCAGTGAAGAAATCAATATGAGATACTTCAGCCAAAAATGCACAAAAATCAACCAGAATGGAAAAGACTCAACCCAAGATCAAAAGGACAGGGATCCCTCAAGAAACAGGAAGAGACTCCTGAAACACCCAAAGGACCTCGTTCTGTAGAAGACATTAAAGCAAAAATGCAAGCAAGTATAGAAGAAGGTGGTTGTCTTCTCAAAGTGGAAGCCAAATTCATCAATTATGTGAAGAATTGCTTTCAGATGACTGACCAGGAGGCTATTTAAGATCTTTGGCAGTGGAGGAAGTCTCTTTAAGAAAACAATTTAAACAGCTTGTTAAAATTTTCTGTCTTCTTTCATTTCTGTAACAGTTGCTATCTAGCTATCCTTTTTGTAATGCAAAGTGAGAACTTTCCATACCATGTTTGATAAATGTCCAGGTTCCACTGCCAAGAATGTGTTGTCTGAAATGCCTATTTAGTTTTTAAAGAAGGAACTCCACCCTTTACTTGGTTTTAAGTATATATGGAATGTTATGATAAGACATAGTAGTAGTGGTGGTCAGACATGGAGATGGTAGGGAGACAAATATACAT